GATTATGGTCCCCGGTTGCAGTATCGAATGAAGTTTCTCTTCACCCGTCAAGGAGAAATCTAAAGTTCAAAAGGTACTCTGCAATTGGAAGACCAAATCACCGATCAATTCAGAAAATACTCTAATGGATTCATCAGGTACGCTTCCGTGTTAATATGTTTATCAATTATTGTAGGATTTCATGCATATTATAGTGGATTAAATAAGTTTTATGGAAACATTCTTAATCCATTATTTTGGATCTATTCGGTTTTGATTCTATAAAACAATTGTTTGATCCATATTTGATATGTTAAAAAGAACCCCTACACAACGGTGTCCTGAAACGAGTCGTTCCTCTATCTTCTCTTCACTGCCAATCAACCAGTTCAAGTTCCTGGGATTCCATCCACAGAGAGAGATGATCTACTTGTGGCTGCCGGGGAAGATTGTAAGCTTTGACCTAGGCAAGAGTTTGATGGAGGAGGCTTATGAGTTTGGGAAGGAGACGGAGGGAGCGTTCGTAGTCCAGCTTTGTCTGTACCCCTTCTCGAGCCACGTGTCGGACTGCGTAGCTGATGTGAGGGTGTAGGAAGCATCGGAGGGTGGTCGGTGGTGAAGACGTGATTGGAACTTTCATGATTCGAATAAATGATTTTTATGTTATTTAATATCTTCAGTAAGAAATAAGCTTGATTTCATTATCATACGATGGCCTAACCCTTTGATTGGGGATTGAAACTGCGTAAGAGTAATATGAACTTAAATACTTCTGACCAGTATTAATGGTCATTTAACTTCATTTATCCTAATATCGTCGATTTTATAGACGAAAGAACAAAAATAATGAGTAAAAAGATAATTTTAATATTTTAATTATGTTTTTTATGATGACGAATGATGATGTCATTGGAGGTTGTGGGTAACTGTTGTGGATGAGGAAGGTGAGTAATGGCAAGAAGTGAAACAAATGAAGAGGAGGAAGAGAATGATGCAAATCTTGATGCTCTACATCTATATGAGTTGCTCACAACTACATCAATATCAATGTAAAAGCAGAATGACGAAATAGCCACTCGGCATCTGTATCAGCATCGACACAAATGCAGATGCAAAGTGTTATTCGATATCTATGTTAGTACCGATGTAGATGCAAAGTGTCGCTCGACATTTATGTTAGTACTCTTCCAATAATTATGATCATCTATCTTACAACAAAACCCTAATATATACTACCATTAGACATGTTAATCATATCTAATTTAACTAATATCTTTAAACATTGAGTTTTGTTAGACATACCCCATGCTTTTACTCGTAATCAAATTATAATGTTCTTGAGAAAATATTACGATTAAATCTAAATTACTTTGGAGTTCACAACTAGAATCTATCAAATACCTATCAAAATTGAGGTAGATTGAACTAGTTAAATGGAATACGATGTTAAACTAAATCGGTTATCAAACTAAAAATACTATAATCTAGTCTGAATTAAGTTAGATTTTTACAAACATTAATTGTAAAAAATGAATGTAATAAGTCTCATTTAGACAAAGAAATTAGAAATAGAAGTTTCCAAAAGTTTACCTAATGAATTTAAATGCGAACAATCAATATCGCCAAAAAGAGTGATTTAAAAATTGACTTAAAATGCAAAAAATACATTGTCATATATAAATACAAAATCGACTAAATGTGTAAATGCTAAATAATAGTTCCAAAAGAAAGAAATTAGCTTGCAAATTGTAAAAGGATAAAGAAAATGATAATCTAAAAAGAAGGAGAGAAATTCAAGAAGCCTAAAACTTTTACCGAATAAAAAATATATATTTTCAAATAATAAAATAAAAATATATTGACCAACTTGGAAAATACAAGAGAAAAAAAATCACTTAACTTAGATTCTCACAAACATTAATTGCGAACAATGAATTTAAATAAGTCCCATATAGAAGGAGAAACTAAAAAAAGAAGTTTCCAAACTTTTTACCTAATGAATTGAAATACAAACAATCAATCTTGTCAAAAAGAGTGATTTAAAAATTAGTCTCCAAACTTTTGCAAAAATCAAATGCAAAAAAAATTTATTGCGACATATATATATGTGTAAATGCAAAATAAGCGACACAAAAGAAAGAAATTATATTGTAAATTAGAAAAGGAGAAAGGAAATGACAATCAAGAGAACTTGAAAATAAGTCTAAAAACTTTTACCCAATAAAAAAAGATATGTTCAAATAAGAAAAATGATATATAAAAATATATTGTGCAATGAGGAAAAGATAAAATGAAAAAAACAAAATGTAATAAAGCGTGGTCGGCAGGATTCGAACCTGCGCGGGCAGAGCCCACATGATTTCTAGTCATGCCCGATAACCACTCCGGCACGACCACAATTGATGATTAATTTGTATTTAAGTTTTTTATTAATGGTTATTTTACATTCTAATGTTTTTAATTAATGCCCATAATAAGGCATCATAATCGGTGATAGAAAAAATATTAATTTATAATTAGAACTCGTCATATGATATCCTCATTAGAAAATGATAAAAACCATCGATCGACATGCTCATAATGATATTCGAACAAAAATTATTTTTAAAGATTTATTTTACACATAATATTCTCCTAATCCTAAATAGTTAGGACGGATTTCGTCATTTTCTCTCTCTATTTCTTTACTCATGTCAAGCTAGCTAACTTGTGAATTAGAAGTCTATTCTTGACATCGTTCTTTATATTAGACGATCACATCAGGATCATACCACCTTGGGGGCTTAAGACTTCAAGCATAATCGTGATTTCCTATATAGATTAGTCATAAATTAAGTTGGACCGACTAACATCTAGTCAATCATTGATATTAACCTCATCATTTTAGAATTAAAATAAAGATCCAATATATTGCATGAATGAGCATCACAGATGACTTGACATATTCAAGCCTTGTTCGGAATGAAACGATTTATCATTTCCTTCGTGCCTTAGTTGGCACAATTTGAGACCATGTAGACTCTTTAGTGATAGTCATAACCTCTAGTCACTACTAAGCATTTTAACTAGACATTGGTTCAATCCCACTAGAATGCTCAAGACCGCGATATCCCATGTTCTCCGATAATTGAGGTAGAGGGACCTAAACATTCATAATTCTACATTAGTAGAGGGAGGAATGAATTGATACATGTATCAAGAATTCCACCTAAGTAGAGGGAGGAATGCGTTGATAGCATCGAGAGGTCCTCTTTCATCCCAAAAATTTAAGAGGAGCTAATCCACTCGAGTCAGAACTTTTCATATTCAAATGATTATTTATGACTTGATCCTCCTTCATCCCAAAAATTTAAGAGGAGCTAATCCACTCGAGTCAGAACTTTTCATATTCAAATGATTATTTATGACAGGTCTAATACTTTGATGTATTAGTCTTTCTCAACCATTCTTCATGAGTTAGTATAGTAGAAGTTGATTAAGTTATACTTAAATTGAACTAGATTACACTAATCATCTAAGAATTAATTATCATAATTTTAAGAATTAGTTGACATAATTTAAAAAAATAAAAAAAAATAATATTAATCATCTAATAATCATATTCTAATCATTCTGCAAAAGTCTAAGTTGGTTTAGTGGAAGTTGATATAATTATACTCAAAATTAAATTAAGTTATACTCATATTACACTCGATAACAATACCTTATAAAAAAATCTTCAATTTCAATTGGATTTAGTTCATGAATTTTTATCATTTATAAAAGTGAAAACGAATATGGTGACATTTGGTAAAAGAAAAAAAATAATGGGGGCTTTTTTGATTAAATGCCCAATCAATTATTACCACCAATTATCAAATATCATAGAAAGTATTAGTTTGGATGTGCTGCTCAAAATAATTTGGACGTGTCCATATTAACGTGAGGAAGAGGAGGCAGGAGAGCGGTCCATCGCTGGCAAACGCGCATCTCGTTGCAAAACGTATTTGTCGGGAACGGTCAAGATTCGAATTAGATGAATACATGAACAGAGTCCAACGCTGCTATTAGAGCCATTTATTTGGATTATTTTGGCAGGGATGAGAAATCATTTTATTTTCATTAAGAAAATTATTATTATTATTTGTTATATTTATAAATAATTTCTCTTGCAAATAATTCTCTCTCAAATTCCCACAAAACCAAACCAATGCTCTGTCTCCATAAAGATTGTTGGAGGAAGATATAATCATGTAGATCTCAAATTGGGTAGATTCTTGAGTTTTGAGGTTGCTTCCAATATCCACATTTATGGCTAATCAACCTCTGCTTACACCTTTCCATCTCAGGCATTGAGAAATTAGTTCTTGTAATTACAAATTACTCAATCTCAGGCATTGAGTAACATGTCCATAATGAATGACCAGAACAAGTACACATCTTTCTCCAAACTAATTACAAATTAATTCTTGTAATTAGTTACAATTATTTTTTTATTAAATTAATTATAATTATTTAAAATTTTAATCATATAAAATTATTTTTTTAATCCTATATAAAAATCTTAATGTTTCACTTTCATAACTATAAGATTTCAATATAATTTTTAAAAATATAAAAATATAAGAAATTAAAATACTAAAGATGATTAATTATAAAAGATAATATACAATTAACCCTCATCAAAGTATCATCAACATGATGTTTTAGGGGATTTGACAAAATGCAATCTAGGAAGCAACATGACGACAGTAGAGCTGCATGACATGCATTATTACTGTTAATGGAGAAGAATCAGTCATAAGGAACAAGCCAATGGAAAATCTTAGAGAGTTGGAATATCTTGTTGAAGTTGCAACCCTGCTAAAATTTCTACCAACTATAAAGTAGCTAAGATAAATATCCAGCAAGTCATAGCACACTGACATACATACGAAAACATGTGCAGCACACATCCATCACCAGGAAAATAATTGTTTGAACAAGTTAGTAACCTACCATATGTGTGAAACACACAAGAACCAGAACCATCACAAATCATCACCATACTGACTATACCCAAGAATATTACAGTAAACATGAGTTTGGCACAATGTCTTTAATGCCATATTAATCTCGAGGCGACATAACTCAGGCAAGAAAACCATAACAATGGCAATTGATCAAAGAAAGTTCTAAAGAATTTACATGGCTCAACTGCTGGACACAAGCAAGCTAAAGTCGTGGTTCTACTGGCCAAAAATAAGAAATGTTTTCAGTTTGATAAAAGAACAAAACCCTTAGGAAGCCGTTGATTGTTTGAGATAAGCAATCAGATCTGCACGCTCTTTTGGCTTCTTCAGACCAGGAAAAACCATCTTAGTACCAGGAATATACTGCACCAACAAGAAAATACCATTAGGAAAAGAAAATACAAGAAAATTGTACTAATAAAAACGTTGATTCCATATAAAGTTGTAACAATCCTGTAATCTCCAGTACAGGCTCCATTTTGTAATTCAAGAAGTCTGTGGATAAGTAACTGAATATTTGCTGGGCATTGAGATGTATCAGTATTCCCAATATTTGGACAAGTGTTGAACTATGTTATTTATTTTGGCTGCACCAGTGTTCCATTACCACTAGAACTCTCAACTTTACCCAGCAGGTCTATGTACTAAAGAATTATTGCACCACCACGAACATCAACTCGACCGACAACACCAGTAGATGCAGAGCCTCCCATAAAGGTAAAAAAAAATTAAGTAAAGGAGATCAAATTTCAAACTCTTCTATCAACGTTATTTGTAGAAACCAGCCAACAAATATTACAATTAGGGTCTCTACTGACCGATTCAGGACACAATAAAGACCATATATATATATATATATATATATATATATATATATATATATGCTCTCTTCTCTTCTTCTCCTCTTATCTTCTTCTATCTCCTCATCAGGCACTGGTCCATATGCAGAAAAGATTCAATTCAATATATTTATTGTGCAGAATCCTTTCTAGGAATCCCTTAGATTAGGATTCCCATGAGTCACCAGGTCCCCCTTCTTTCTCTCATCTCCCCTCATCTGCATCATCTCTCCCACTCTCAATGGGAAGGCTGCAACGATGACAAGACAACAACAATCCTACACATATATCCCTCCTAATCTTTTACAAAAGGTGAGGCCTGCTCATACTATTTTTCTTCTTCCTTATTGAAGGATTAATAGTTCATTGATAATATAGTAATTCCCCTCAATATAGCTACTTTCCTGAAAATGATTTGCTACAAAACTTTGAGCAGTCCCCATATACAACACTATAAGTGTATCATTACATTCCTCAGTAAGCAATGTGGTGACCTAACAGTATCAAACAATATGATGAGAAAATAATAAAGTACTTCTGCCCCTGGACTAAGAAAGGAAATTCTTTCATGTTTCTTATAAATTCAAACTACTTATCACGTGGAACTAGCCAACAACAGGTCTTCGCCCGCCCCAAACACACAGAAAATTGTGAAAAAAGCAGAGGAAAAGAAGCCCTTATCCTAATACTCAACCAAGCATAGAATTTGTAGAAATTGCAATTGAATAGCAAAAATGGACATGCACAGCAGAAATAATGCTGGCCAAACGTATGTAAATGACTTAAATGTTACATAGCCGAAGGTAAGTCAAAGGTTCATTCGTACCTTCTTAGGGTTAAGCAAGTAATCGTACAAAGTTGATTCCTCCCATACCACAGCCATGTTCTTGTTTGCAGTAGAGTAGGAGTATCCTGGAGTCGTACCGGATTGCCTTCCAAAAAGGCCATTCAAATTGGGTCCTGTGCGTAACAAAGAACCAATTATCCTCAAGGACACAAATTCTACTCGATGAAGCAAATATTGTCAGACAGTTATCGAAGCTTCAACATGGGCAAATAAAACGAAAATGCTATTCAGCTAAAATGAACAATCGGGACAAAATACATCGATCACAAAACTTTACGGCATAAAAAAGGGGGAACGCAGACAACGAAAACAACCAAAGAATTGCAGGATTCCAAAGATCTAATCCAAGCAGGGTAGCGCGTGTCCAAGAAAGCAGCCTTAAATACTAGAGGAACTAGATCTCATTTACAATGACAACCTAGATCGTCAAGAATCTCGCACCAGATCATATGAAAGAACCAATAATATGGACCATCAGGAATCACATCAAAACAGAGACTTTGATCAACCTTGCTTGTGACCGGCGCCCTTATCGACGGTGTGGCACTGGGCGCACTTGGTCTTGAAGATCTTCTCTCCGGCATTGGGATCGCCCGGCGGAGCTTCCGCGAAGGACGCCATCGATCGCCCTCCAAAGAGCCGCTCTCTCGATCTGAATCCGAGCGCTAGGGTTTCGTACTGTTTCCTCTTGCTTCGCGTCCATCTTCCACACGCCTTTCGTCTCTGTATAAAAGACCAGCAATTATAAATTACCTATATTACCCTCAAGAGTTTGCCAAAATTCCGAAGCTATACTAAATAACATGCAATAAATAAAAAAATCATAGGGGTATATTAGTCATACAATACTGTTCTGGAACACGGGGTTCGGTTTGAGACGGATTCGTCCGATTTAGTAGACGGCGGCGGAGGCGCCACGTGCTCGAATGCATGTTGTCGAATTACACAAAAGTTCCGATAATTTACGTAAAATAACACAATAGTCCTATCAAGTTCACAACGGAGACCCGAAAAAAGATAATAAATTTTCTTCAATTTTCTTGGTTGATTTTTCGGAAAAGGACTTCGTTCTTGAGTTTCTATCACTGATTATTTCATTAATGGGATTTGAATTACATCTTATATGGTATATGATGTTTAAAATATTAGTTTAAACTTAATACGTGTCATCCTAAATAGTAGTAGGAAATAGAAGTCTTTGACTTACCATGTTAGCATTTGCTAGATAGAAAATATTTAATTATTATTATTTGTTACGTGATATATTCATCTTCATAGCTAGCGATAAAGAGGAGCCCAACTATAAAATATAACTTAAGGTATAATTCTTCTTATCCTCATCTATTTCGGATGTCTAACTTAGGTATCAAAAGAACGAACCCCACCCAACATTGGTTGAAGTGTAAGTCGGACCATATCAAACATCGAGAGGAACATTAGATAAATGAAAGGATTCCTAATGCAAGTCGTGCCGATTGAGTGTTCCATATCCGTGGATTTCCCTCTATCAGCCCATTTTATATGAATATTTTATACGCGACGATTAAGATAAATGCTTATAGTGGTGGGATCGATGGTTTTGATAGAATCGTTCGTAGCTCAGTGGTGTAGGAATTCACATTTGCTCCGTGGTGTTAGGTTGTGCATCATGCCTGCCTCCGTCTTTGTGTTCTTGTAAGTCAAATGACAACACAAAATATCATCGATCTAATATATCTAATGAGAACGTATAGATCATCATGCATTATTTGTATTAATATAAATGCATTGGTATTTATTAAGATGATGACAACATGCAGTAGTACACTGAGCTGTTCGTTCGAGGCTGTACGCCATCCATCGACCTCCAGTCAGCAGGTCATCCATCACTCGAGAATGCAACAGCACATCTTGCCGTTGCTTCCACCGGTGGGATCAGGAACGCAAATCACGGCGGCGGGAGAGTGGCCTGCTGCCGCACACGGCTCAGCACAGTCGTCCTTGGTGTGGCATCCTCCGACGAAGTCACATTTACCATGATACTGATCCACCGAATACCCTACCAATCAACGAAACCATTCCAAGTCAGCTGATGTGAGATATGATGTGATGTGAGATACTGATTCATATTTCTTCTTTCTTTTTTGTTTCTTGAGTTTTGATTAGTCCTCTATCAAACAACATGGGATGTGATGTGAGGTCTTAAGACGATTCTTCCTTCAGACTCTCGAAAGCACCATGAGAGAGAGAGAGAGAGAGAGAGAGAGAGAGAACGAGGAGGCCAAAAACCCTAATGGATGCCATCTCTAAATGAACCAGTGATCACAAGAGGACTCAAGTTGCAGACCCCAATAAATTGAAGCTGCAAGATAATGATGATGATGATTTATCCAATATGTATTATCAGAAAAATCAATATAAAGTTAAATATATTGGTTGGTATGCTCCAAGTTTTCCTTTGGGAAATATGGTGGTGAGCGTAGTCATCTTATAGACTCCATGAAATCTAAGGAAATAGTCTTAATGAGCTACTCTACTCGGTTCATGGGATCATAGAGATTTGAAGGATTGAATCATGAAGCATATTGAGGCTAAATTTACTCCTCAAGAAGCATCTCAAAATCATGTACAAATGGTTCTTGCATTCGTGATCAACTCATCAAGCAATAACTTATTCGTTGAGAATTAGAACTATTTGATTCATCGAATCATACATCAAGAAACTAATTAGTTTAGTATGGAAATTTGTCTTGTACTTGGAATCAAACTCATTAAGCATATCTCTCTACTAAGAGTAAGGTTGAATTCAACCCAAGGTTTCAAAGTCACAAACAATTGGATTCCCTGCATCAATTATTAATTTCAAGTGACAAAATTTATGGAATAAATCTAATTACTAATCTATTTAGTAACTTATATCAATCCAATTAACTATTATATCTCTATGTGAAATATTAGTGTGTTGCATATCTCCTATTCTAAGACCAGATGATAATGCTATATTCTTATATCATAAATTTGTTGCTTATAATTATTGATATTTTCATGCCATTAGATTTGACCATGGTTTGATTCGAATTGAAATTGAATCTACTCAATGGTCTATCAATTCTAAACTTAACTGGAACCATTTAAAAAAACCTAATAATCAAAGTTTATGAATACATATATGTCATTAGATGGATTATATATATATATATATATA